CTGGACCCACGACTGGTGTGTGAAGGAGTTCCATTCCGCACCCCTCAGCCCTTCTTATCCCTTGTCACGGACGCGTCAGCCCTGGGATGGGGCACCCATCTCGGGGACACCCAGACACAAGGTCTCTGGACCCAGTCAGATCTCTCCCTCCACATCAACGTTCGAGAGCTGATGGCTGTTTGTCTGGCTTGTCAAGCTTTCCAGGAGCAGCTGCATGGTCGTTGTGTAGCAGTCCTCACAGACAATAACACGGCCATGTTCTACAGCAACAAACAAGGTGGCACTCGGTCCTCCCCCATTTGTCAGGCCATTCGACTGTGGGAATTCTGCACAGCTCACTCCATTCACCTGGTGGCATCTTTCCTCCCAGGGGTCCAGAACACATTGGCGGACTGTCTCAGCAGATCCTTCTAATCCCACAAGTGGTCAATATGCCCAGATGTCATCCATACCATCTTCCTGAAGTGGGGGTTTCCCCAGGTTGATCTGTTCGCCTCACGTGGCAACTGGAAATTCCCAGCGTTCTTCTCCCTTCAAGGTCGCTCTCCGGGCTCCCTCACAGACGCCTTCCTGCTTCCGTGGACAAGCCAGCTGTTTTACGCCTTCCCGCCATTTCCCCTTGTATACAAGGTCTTGCTCAAGGTGCGCAGGGACAGGACACGTCTGATCCTGGTCGTCCCAGCGTGGCCCAGGCAGCATTGGTACACCACACTGTTGGAGATCTCCGTGGATGCCCCCAGTCCCACTGCCCCTCTTTCCAGATCTGATCACTCAGGATCACGGCCACCTCTGTCATCTCGTTTTTCAGTCCCTCCACCTCACAGCGTGGATGCTGCTTGGCTGAGCCACTCAGAGCTCCTCTGCTCTCGTTTGGTGCAGCAGGTCCTGTTGGGCAGCAGGAAACTTTCCTCTCGGGCCACATATATGGAAGCGATTCTCTTGCTGGTGTTCTAAATGGAAGCGATTCTCTTGCTGGTGTTCTAAATGGAAGCAATTCTCTTGCTGGTGTTCTCTCCATGACATGCCCCCCCATCCAAGCGTCTGTACCTCTCCTCCTGGACTATCTCCTGAGCTTGAAAAGGCAGGGCCTGGCAATATCTTCTATCAGAGTTCATCTGGCAGCCATCTCAGCCTTCCACCTGGGAGTGAATGGCTGTTCTGTTTTCGCCAACCCCATGGTTGGTAGGTTCCTCAAGGGACTAGACAGCCTCTACCCACAGGTTCAACAGCCAGGACCCACGTGGGACCTTAACCTGGTCCTTTCCAGGCTTATGGGGGCCCCTTTTGAACCGTTGGCCACATACTCCCTCTTATACCTCTCTTGGAAGACAGCTTTCCTCGGCGAGGGGTGTCTCCAAGCTCAAGGCTCTCACCTCGGAGCCACCTTACACAATCTTCCATAAGGACAAGGTGCAGCTACAACCTCATCCTGCCTTCCTTCCCGAGGTGGGGTCGTCTTTTCATATCAACCAAGACATCTTCCTCCTGGTTTTCTACCTGAAACTGCACGCCAGTAGTCAGGAACAGTGGCTGCACTCCCTCGATGTTCGTAGGGCTCTCGCCTTCTACATTGAGCGTACGAAGTCTCTTTGGAAAACGACGCAGCTCTTCATTGCGGTAGTGGACCAGATGAAGGGCCTCCCGGTCTCCTCCCAGCGGATCTCTTTGTGGATCACGTCTTGTATTTGTGCGTGCTATGATTTAGCGGGGATCCCGACCCCTTCTATCACAGCTCACTCTACGAGGGCTCAAGCCTCGTTGGCAGCGTTCCTGGCCCACGTACCAGTTCAGGAGATCTGCAGAGCCGCCACTTGGTCATCAGTACATACATTTGCCTCGCACAATGCCATCGTTAGGCAGGCCAGACGATGCCTTCGGTAGAGTGGTCCTACAATCCACGGTACTTTACTCCAACCCCACCGCCTAGGTAAGGCTTGGGAGTCACCTAATTGGAATCGATATGAGCAAGCACTCGAAGAAGAAAAGACGGTTACTCATCTTTGTAACTGTTGTTCTTCGAGATGTGTTGCTCATATCCATTCCAAACCCGCCCTCCTTCCCCTCTGTTAGAGTTACCGGCAAGAAGGAACTGAGGGGGCGCTGGGCCGACTGGGGTATATATCCAGCGCCATGAAGGCGCCACTCCAGGGGGCTCCACAGCCGACCCACCAGGTGTTGCTAGGGTAAAAATTCTCCGACAATCGTGCACGCGGCGCACGCACACCTAATTGGAATGGATATGAGCAACACATCTCGAAGAACAACTGTTACAAAGGTGAGTAACCATCTTTTTCTCCGCAATGACTTTATCAACTTTAAGTGCTCCTTTTTTATCTCGATCGTCCAGGGGCCCTACTGGTTGTTTAGCAGGCTTCCCGCTTCTGATGTACTTAAAAAACATTTTATTACCTTTTGAGTTTTTGGCTAGCTGTTCTTCTTTTCTTATTACATTTTTACACTTAATTTGGCAGTGTTTATACTCCTTTCTATTTACCTCACTAGGATTTGACTTCCACTTTTTAAAAGATGCCTTTTTATCTCTCACTGCTTCATTTTCATTTCATTGTTACCCCTGCACTGAGACCGGTATAATTTGTATAACCATACTGCCCCAGTGTGGTAGGTACTGTACAAATACAGAACAAAAAGACAGCCCCTGCCTCAAAAAGCTTATGCTCCAAGTAACTTGTGTTGGACTAAAGTGTATCTTACAGAAAGGGAGGCATTCCGTTTTTTCTTCACTAGATGAAAAAGTCCTTAACTACCTGATATCTTCTGGTGAAGGCCTTATGCACTGCAATCAAGTAATCTCTCAATCTTTTTGATAAACTAACAGAATGAGCTCTTTAAGGCTTTCACTGTAAGGCATTTTCTCATTGAATAATTTTTGTGGTTCTTTACCCTCCCCAATTTTTCAAAATCCTTTTTAAAATGTGGGATATCAGAATTGTATGTTGTATTCCAGTATCAGTCTTACCAATATCAAATAGAGAGAAAATCACCTTCCTACTCCTGTTTAGTTTTCCAGGGATTGCATTAGCCCTTTTTGCCTCAGCATTACACTGGGAGCTCATGTTCAGTTGCTTGTATGCTCGGACCCTTAATTCCATTTCAGTCACTCCCTTTCAGGATTCAGTCCCCCATTTTGTATGAATGCCCTGCATTCCTTGTTCCTAGATGTATAACTTAGATGGATATATTAAAATATTTTGTTTGAATGGGCCTACCTTACTAAACAATCCAGATTATTCTGTGTGACTGCCCTGTTCTTATCATTATTTACCACTTCACCATTCTTTGTGTCATCCACTAATTTTATCAGTAGTAATTTTATATTTAGTTTTAGGCAATTGATGAAAATGTTGAACTGAACTGGACCTGGTACTGATCCCTGCAGAACCCTGTTAGAAGCATCCCCATTTGAAGATGATTCCCTATTGACAACTACCTTTTGAGATCCATAAATTAGCCAGCTCTGAATCCATTTAACATGTGCTTTATTGATGTTGTCTAATGCTATTTTTTTAATCAGAATGTTATGTTGTGCTAAATCAAACAGCTTACAAAAGTCTATACATATATAGTTACCTTTCTCAACTAAACGTGTAATCTTCACAATTGGGTTTGTGTCATAAAACCTATTTTCCATAAAATCATGGGATGAATTACATTCCTATCTTTAATCCTTCATCAATATAATCCCATGTCCACTTTATATTATTTTGCTCAGGATTTATGTCAGGCTAACTGCTCTATAGCTATCTGGGTCATCCCACATGCCCCTTTTTGAATACTCGCACAACATTAGTAGTCTTCTGGTATTTTTCTGGTACTCCCAAATTTATTAAAAATTAACATCAGTGACCAAAGTTCTCCTCATCCACCTGTTTCAGGATTTTTGAGTACAAATTATTCAGGATTGTTAATTTTAAAATGTTTATCCCTAGTATATGATCTTTGACCTCCTCCTCAGTTACTAATGCACTGGAAACTACTTCATCAGCCTCATATATGATTACATTATCCTGTTTCTTTCCAAATACAAACCAGAAATATTTGTTGACTATTTCTACTTTTTCTGCATCATTATTAACAATTTTACCATCTGATGTCATTTCGACTAATGTCTTTGGAATGCTGTCAAATGCACAACACAAAGCTCTCTTCCAGCCAGTTCCACCGCTCACTGTGCTGGTTGCTGAGCTCCCCACTTCTAGGTCCTGAAGCCCTTACTAAACGTCTCTGTTAGGGCTCCCTAACTGTGTGGGGTGACAAGTTCTCCCCTTGTGAATGCTTCTAAACATGAGAGGCAGCAAGCTTCCTCTATGCAGCCCTTGATGGGGCAAGGCACAGGGCTCACCCCACGACCCCCTAAGGTGTCTAGCTTCCCCCGTACTAGGACATCTTGACTGCAAGGCACAAAGCTCACCCCATGACCCCCTTGGGTAACTTCCCCCCATCAGAGCCCCCTGACTGGAAGGCACAGAGCTCATTGCATGACCCCCTGGTGTTTAGCTTCCTCCTTACTAGGTTGCCCTGACTGCAAGTCAGAGTTCAACCCATGGCTTCCTAGCCTGGAGGTCCCCGCTTAGTGGACTACACCATGTGGGGCACTAAGTTCCCCACTTCTGGCACCCCTGAGGGGGGGGACGAGCTGAGCCTCAGGGCTCCCCACAAGCATGCGAGCTCTGAGCTCGTCCCTCACTGCAACGAGACACTGCTTCCCTGCGCCAAGGCCTTCACGCTGAGCCCCCTTCCTCACCCCAGGGCTCCCCTCACCCCCAAGATGCGGAGCTCACCTACTCCCCGCGAGCCAGCTAACTCCCGTCGGACTGCGGGCCACCGGGTTGCGGAGCGCGCCCCTCCCAAAAGGCGGTGACAGGGTGAGCGGGCATTAGGTTTGTCCGTTCACACTTGCCTTCACCCGCCTCCCTCCCGGATCGGAAGTATTCCGGTTGCTATTGGATACCCGGCGGAAGTATCGACTGCCTGTCCGAGGAAGGGCCAAAAAAAATGGCGGGCGCCGATCTCAGCCAATGACAGCAGGAGAGACAGGCGAGCGCTTCTCTCCGACTGGGAGAGCGGGTATCGCGAGATCCCTGAGATCTCCTTCCACCACCCCGAGTTCCCATAACACCCTGCACGCGCCTGGCCTCTTCCTTTTTCCGCCATCTTGCTGCACCGGTGAGTTACGGGCCTCGCTAGGCCCTAGGCGCCATCCGCCGGGTACTATCCCCATCCTGGCCCTGCGGGCGTCTTCACCCGCCTTCCCGCCACCTCCGGACTTCGCCCAACCGGCCCAGTCTGTTTTGAGCCGCCTGCGCCCGCCACGGCCGCCGGTGGAGCCACCCGAATAGGGAGGGGGGAGGCGCTTTCCTAGCCTGAAACCCGCTCACTGGAGGGAGCTGGAGGGGGAGGGGGGGTTCGGGTGGCAGGCTGGGCCCGGGGAGCGTGATGGTGGGAAGGGGGAGGGGAGCTGGGGAATGTGGGACGGTAGCCTTGGCCCTGGGAGAGGCGGTGGTAGGAGGGGGCATCGCGGGGGTGAGGGGGAGTGCAGGCGTAGGCTTGGCCCTGGAAGAGGAGGAAGAATCGGGGGCGGGAGGGCGCAGACTGGGCCTGGGCAGGGAGCAGTCAGTCTCTCTGAGTTCACGCTAAATATCCCGTAGTTTATCTCCTGTTAAGTCGGTGGGTGTTGATTGAGTTTAGCAGTAAATGCCCCCGTGCACAGTGCAGATAAATACACCGGGCAGGAGCTTATTGCGTGTGGCAACGTGGCTTGATACAGCCCCTCTGGACTCCAAGCACCTCCGAGCCTATTGTAAAACTGTATAACCCAAACGCCGACAGTGTAATGGTAAATGGAGCGATAGTACAATGCCTTGTTTAACTGTGGGATACGTTGCCCTAGTCATCAGAACATAAGCTTGAGTGCCCAAGTGCCACAGTATCTTTAATATGCAACTGGATTTCTGCTAGAGATGCGTGAATTGGGCAATACTTAAAAGATTTTTCCCTTGTTCTGGACAGGGTATAATGCAGGGTAAATGATTCTTGAAACCCACTATCAAGAGTTGAGTAATTTAGTAACTCTTCCCCCCGCCCCCCAATAAAAAGTGCAAAGCCATGTCACTTTAATGGTGTAACAGTTGTGTAATTTAATCAGGGTCTAAGATTTTGCTCGGTACTTCAGTGCAGTCTCAGCAGGCCTAGCTCCTACTGTGAGATTTTAGCCCACATTAACCAATAGGTCCAAAAATAACTAGTGACTGCTTCAGTTTTGGGGTGACTGATTTCAGAAAGTACAGCTAATCTCTGGAAATTAGGTCTTTCTCATATTGAACACCTGAAATCTCTGGTCACTTATGAAAAATCCTGGCCGGGATGTCTTGCAGCATCTTTAAATATGCTTTGTCTAGACTGTAAGTCTTTGTCTCTGAACATATCTTATTGTAAAACACTTAAGTTTTATGCTGTATATATTGTATAAACTTTTTGTGGCATAAAATGTAGACTGTTGAATATAGTTATGGTGGGTTTGAATTGTGGTGGACATGCACAAATAATAATCCGACCTGCCTGGTGTTTGCATAAAACATCTTGAAGCTTTTGCTTCTCGGCTCTCTGTGAGTTGAGGGGTGAAAACATCATCTACTATCTGCTGTTCTGAGTTCAAAAATTCTGAAATTAACAGTGTTATCTTTTTCTAAAAGTATCCCTGCTTAAATGTGAAAGCAAGAAGTTAGCACCCATAACTAACTTTGTTCCACACACAGGCATCATGGTGCGCATGAATGTTCTGGCCGATGCCCTTAAGAGCATCAACAATGCAGAGAAACGTGGAAAACGTCAAGTTCTCATTAGACCGTGCTCTAAAGTAATCGTGCGGTTTTTAACTGTGATGATGAAGCATGGTAAGTCATCAGAAAGTAAAATTCATATCTAATTATTTCTATAAAAGGTAAGAGGCACCAAAATAGTGTAAAGCATGACTGTTTCCTGTAGCAAAAAGTGACAGAGTCCAATGGCACCTTATAGACTAACAGATGTATTGGAACATAAGCTTTCGTGGGTGAATACTCACTTCGTCAGATGCATGTAGTGGCATCTGATGAAGTGAGTATTCACACACGAAAGCTTATGCTCCAATACGTCTGTAAGTCTATAAGGTGCCACAGGACTCTGTCGCTTTTTACAGATCCAGACTAACAGGGCTACCCCTCTGAAACTTGGCATCCTGTAGCAAAGGGATATTGCATCACTTGCAGTGTTTCAAACCCCCCAAAAAATCATTTTGGGGTGGGGAGTGGGCAAGGGCAAATACTTTGTTTATTGTCCTTTGCTTGGAGTGTGTAGTGAAGGATAGAATTGGAAAAACTTGGGTATGCTGCCAAGATAAAACCAACAATGCAATTTTTTGGAAGCTATACACAGTGGCCAGTGTGCAGTGTCTGAGTGATTCCTTAGGTAAAACGTGCATTGCCTTTTCAAGTGAAGGCCTTTTCAAGTGAACTTAAGTTGCATTTAGTTTGAGTCTGTGGGAAACTGAGCTGATCAGTTACCCTGCTCTTTTGTAGAGTAAGCTAATCAACTTCTTAAACTGCCAAGTTGAAAAGAGTACTTGGAGAGATGCAGGACTAACCTTACAAAGTTAGTGCTGCCTCGAATATTGCTGGATATGAGACCATTGTATTAAATACATTATATGGAGAATAATAGATGTGTATTCAGTAATAGCTGAAATGTGATGACTTGTCTACATGAAAAAGTTGCACCATTTTAACAGTTGAGTGCTAATAGTTTTAATTGTGATTGTTAAACCAATTCAGTGATATCAAGGCAAAAGACTGTGTGTGGATGCTTATTTGGTTTAGCTTAAGTTGATTAGGACTCTTAAGCTAAACCAAAATAAGTCAGTCTTAAACTACAATAGGTGTCCAAAAAAGCTTGGCAGCAGTTTAATAAAACTGGTATATAAATTCATTTTAAGTTAAACCACTGCAGCTCTCTCATGTAGACATGGCCTAAATGTTAAGTTTTTGACTTGTCTGCATTTGAGACAGTGCACTAGTTTGGATAATAAAGGTTCTGCTTGATTTAATCGTTCACAGGTTACATTGGTGAATTTGAGATCATTGACGATCACAGAGCTGGGAAAATTGTTGTTAATCTCACAGGCAGACTGAACAAGGTAGGGTTTGATTTAGTGCTGAATTCTTTTTTCTTTCTAGAAGGCTGTTTAATTCTGAGAAATATACACTCTTCATATACATTTATATTAATCTTAATTCTGTGAATGTGGTTGTGTAATAATAGATTTGATAAGGGTGTGTGAATGGAGGCTGGTCTGCATGTGGCTTAAGTGGAAGCTTTTTTGAGTCCTAATGATTGTGCTGTATAAAAATGTGCTTGAGCAACCATAACAAAGTAAATGAAGCTTGTGTGGGAATATGTACAGGGAACTTTGCTTGCCAGCACCACTTTCTCTGCTTTTTCCTTAGGAGCCTTCTAGAAAGTATTTATTGTCCACTCATACAACCTGTCTATATTTGTGTAGTCTGATATTCTAGTTTCAGACAACAATTCAATTATGAAATAATCAGTGAGCTAGAAATTGAATACTGAAGCATTTAAACTGACTTTAATTGGAACAGATTTGTTTGGAAAATGTTTCAGAAATGCAAACTTGTATCCAGGTGATGCATAATACTAGTAAATGACTAGAGAAAATTGTAGAAGCCAAGCCTTTCTGCTACTAACTGGATTTTGTATGCAGTGAACTATTGAGCTGTGCATCTTGTAGATATGTCAGTTCATTGCATAACTTCTTCCTAAATATCCATGTAGTGTTTTTGGGTTGTCAAGAAGATTTCTTTTAACTGTCTGGAAATCCTGTGGGCTATATAACTTGACTATTACCATCATGATCTATTATAACAGATTCCTCCATTGGTTCAAAACCATTTCTCACTAAAATAGTTTAAATGAAAACACTGCCCATCCGGTAGATCAACTTTCTCAATTGGTAGCAGAGAAAGTTGACCCCTCACGAGCATATTTTGGATCGCTTCCATAAAGAACAGAAATCTGTTCACATAAACATGTCTTTCAGCTGGAAATTACTTGTCTGGAGCAGCCTGAGGATTATAAAAGTGCAGTAGTAGAATCTCATAATTTGACCAGATGGAACTTTATAACAGTTTGGAGTCTGTTGTACTTTAGGATAAGGGTTTATGCTGTCACTGAGCTACTTGGCAATTGTTTTTTGAGTGATGTTTGGCACAACCAAATGTTTTTCTAGAGCAGTTCTGTTATGTGGGCCAGTCAAACATTGAACAATGCAACAACAGCATACTTTTTGTGCATGCTTAAGTGGCAAAGACTTGTTAAAATAAATGTAAATACCAATTAAATGGTGAAAATGAAAGTTGCTGTCTGCTCCACTTTAGGGGCCAGATTGTTAGCATTGCTGGTTATTGACATGTCAACACTTATGATACTAACCCAAGATATACTCTCTATTGGCAGTTCTAACTACACTGTATACTTCTGGTTTTTAATCATTTGCATAAGATTAGTATAATTAACTTGAACATTTCTTATTAGGTGGTTAGTTTCTAGGCATGGTTTTTAATTTCTCAGACATACCTAAAATACAAGTTTGTGTCCAGGTAGCTAACTTTGTAGATATTCAGTTCTTCTTTGCCATGGTTAAGAACCTGGGAGTAGTCTCCATTCCTTGGTAGGAATGCTCGGGAGTTGATGCTTTCTTTCAAGTAGTATACAGCATGCTCTTATGCTCTCCGAGAACTGAACTGACCACAAAATGGCATTGCCTTCTGAGTTTGTAGCCCCAGCAGCAATCTAGTTTCAGCCTATCTAGTTGAAAGGAAGAAGGTAGTAGTATCAAAACAGCTCAGAACTGAATAGTTAGATCCTCTGCCTAGTCCAGCTGGCAACCTGAGTATGCACTGTGGATGAAGTTGATGCAGTAATGGAGTGCCATTCTTGGACACTTTGGTCTTTCCCCATCATACAAGTTGGATACTTGATTGGCACTATTAATCCCCTTCTGATCAGTGATTTGAAGAGAGATATAGGGCTGAATGCCTTTTAAATGCTGCGACTTGGGTAGAGAGACAAGGTAGGCAAGGTATTACTTTTTATTGGATCAACTTCTGTTGGTGTGA